AGAGAAAGAATCACAAAAACATATAAAATAGTTAAGAAGACATTGATTTTTATTATCAAATTATAATTTTTATATTTAAAATACAATTTAATAAATTGGAAATATTACAAAGTAAATCAAATAAATACCATAAAAGTACATAAACCGGGTACTTAACCAAACACCTTGGTAAACGCCGCCTTGACGCACTCCTAAATTAGCCATAATATAATCATAATTAATAAATAAGATACACATACTATCTATGTTAAACTCACCTTATAGGCTTTTATCTTTTTCATGCGCTCCTCTTGCTTAGCTTTACCCGCCTCATTCGCCTCGGCCTTTTCACCCTCATCGGCCCCCTCATCGCCACCACCACCTTTACCCTTACCATGTGCTTTACGCATGGCCTCCCATTGCTTTTTCTGGCACTCCTGGTACTTGTCCGAGCAGTGCATGGCTGCCATTAATTTATTTTCCAACACGGTCAATTTTCCCGTCACATCGCTAGCGTCGGCCGCGCACGGGTCGACGTAACACTTGGCCACTTCCTCTCTGTACTGGGTCATTTTGGCGTCCACCATGTTGTCGGCCGAGCACAATTTGGCCTTGCTCTCTTTGTCCAAACGCATCATGCCCATTCCGCCTTTACCACCACCGCCACGACCGCCGCCGTGTCCCCCACCAGACACAGTGATTACAGCTGTTAACGCTATCGCCAGTAGGGTGACCACCAGTCGCGACATATTGTTATTGTAAAATATTTTAGTTTAATATTTTATTTTAATTAAATAAATTTTGATAACTCTTTTTTGTGGAGTCCTATTTAACGTAGATTTATATATGAATGCAATGTTTCTTATCTACCGTATTATTTACAGCGTTCATTATACAGTATGATGCAGTTTGTTAAGTCAGCTATGCAAATAAAATTTGTGCATACATTGTGAAATGGGATTCACAATTGTTGTGTGTGTGTGACATGTAAACCTAACTGGCAAATGTTGTACTGTTGATGACCTTGGTAACCCTATTTACCAGTTTTGTTAAACTATGCCTATTGTTATGCAATTAACGCAATTTATTTTATTTATGCGTGCGTTAGAGATATCGTACGGTTTGTATGCATTCAATATGACTAATGCGTTGTGTGTGAAGTCGATGAATTTAATTCAGCATGCTGAGTAAATATTTTACGGCATAACATTATACGTATTTAGTATTTTAAATGTCATTTAGTTAATAGTTATTATTTAATTATAATTTTAGTTGTAGTTGCGAAATAGTTGGCATTCTAGTATTATTATTATTTTAAAATGAATTTTTGTAAACTAATAATTATAAATAAATTATTTAATTAATATATAAAATAATATTTGTGATAAATTTCACAAATAATAAACAAAATTATATTTTGTAAAATTGTATATAATTTCTATTTAAACATAACTCAACTTATTTTATATAAAACAAAACTTGAGTACACGCCATCTGATAGATCTATTAAAAACCTTGATAATTTCAAAAAATTGGGAAGCAGATGTGGTGGCCAGTATCCAGTATTATTTTCTTAACTTTAATAAACATAATTGCATAATATAACTTTTACAGTTTCATCTAAAATTGTCTGTTAATTAATAGACATTGTTTTGAAAAGTTTATATTTCAATGTTTTATATAACTTATGTTTATTCAAAATATGTTATAAACTTTATAACATATTTTGAATATATATATTTATAATTAAAGCTGTTCAGAATATGTATTTATTCTTGGTCAAATATGTTATATAATATTTATTTAAAATGGTCAAATATGTGCTTATATATTTACTAAAAAGGGGTCAAATATTTATTTATATTTATTTATAAATCTCAATATTCACTATAAAATCTAATTAATTTATTCTATGGACAAATTAACAAAATATTATGTTAGAAATGTTCGGTAACTATTTAAATCCTATTTAAATAGTGTTAATTAAAGTCATAATCTATATTTAAATTATATTAATTGTTTCCAAATCAAACTAATGATATACTATCCCATAATTACGTATAACATAATGTCATACAAGTATTTATTATTGTTTTAATTCATTATTAATCAACTTTTAGAAATTATTTTACAATTAAATATATATTTAGACATTTTAAACCAAGGAATTTCAAGTAAATTAATGATTTTTATGCTTAATCGCCAAATATGTATTTATATTTATTTATAAGTCAGATATGTATTTATATGTAAAATAAAACTTTGTTAAAATGACCCTTATTATGTTATTCGTTTGCCCCCAAAGTCCCAAACATATATCTTTAACCAATAAATATATTTAAAAACATATTCTGAGCAGCTTTATTTATAATATAAAGCATAAAAAGTATAAAGCTATTGTCCTTTAAATATTGTAGTAAGTTGTTATTTACAAAAATATGTATAAAAATAATTAAAAAAGTTTATAAATAGTTTGTATTAATGTTGGATAGCAATGGTTTATAACGTCGGGGCTAAATTGTCCAATATAATATTTACAAAAATTATTATTTAAATACGTTTATAAAGCACTGGTTTACTTATATACAGTTTGTAACCTTTACAGTGAAGAATGTAAGGTAATTTAAAAATCGCATTTTTATACTTAAAAAACATTGAAGTCTTTTATTATAGCCAAATGGATATTCAGAAGCTTCTAGTTAAATAAATATTAGACGGTTAATTTTATAATACAGTTTGATCAGCTATTATTAACGGCACAATTATTATAATTATCAAAAATGATTACAATAAAATATTAATATACGACACTTAATAGTCATATATTATTCTAGATATGAAAAACAGTCTAAGTAGTTACTAAAATTATACAAAATATTAAGAATGCTTATATTGATAAACCAATTGGTAGATTGGGCATAAACTGGGAAAATAATATCCGTTAATTTAACAATGATAATTTAATTTGATAATAATATAACTTTACATATTTATAAATCTAACTATTTATGAGGCATTATTGTTTTTTTTCTGGCTAGCACTTTATTGATTTTTAATTAAAATTCAAAGTGCGAATGTAAAACTAATCTCCAAGTTTAAGCTTGTATAGTTAAACATATTTTAACACAACTTATTTTAGTTAAAAATTAAGTACTAAAAAGTAAGTTTTAAATTTTAACTAAAACAATACTATACCAAAACTTGAGTACACGACATTTGATAAATGTATTAAAAACCTTTATAAATTTAAAAATTTTAGATGCATACAGTTTTACCAATATCCAGTATTACTTTCTTAACTTTAATAAACATAATTGCATAATATAACTTTTACAGTTTAAATTGAAAAGAACAAAAAATTGCATAAAATCCATAAACATAAGTGTAAAAAATTAAATATTAATCACATTAATAAACTACTGTACATATTAGCCTTTCAAAAATGTTGCCTGGTTCTTCACAAACTCCCGCAAAATAGCGGGCAATTTGCCGATACTATTATCAGCCTGAATACGTCGGGACACCGACTCCAACCTCGTTGCCACCTCCCTATCCGCCAACAACCCCTCCACCGCCTCCAACAGCTCAACCTCCGAGCACTTGTACGCATCCAACCTAACGCCAAACCCGCGCTCATGTATACGCTGGGCGTTATCGTACTGATCGCCAAACAGGGGCATCACGATCATGGGTCTACCGTAATAAAGTGACTCGGTCACCGTATTATTGCCACCATGGGTGATTACCAGGTCCACGGCGGGCAGCACCTGAAGTTGCGGTACCGACTGTCGGCCCCACATATTGCCGGGCAGATCATAATCCAGGTGTTTTGGCCCTTTGGACACAATGAACCTGTTGGGTGATTTGCCGAGTATGCCGACCAGGCGGCGCATATTGGGCACGTCTACGGCGCCCATAGAGCCTAGCGAAAAATAAATCACCTTGCCCGGTTTGTCGGCCAATGAGCTGGGTAGTTCAAACTGACCATGCTCACCGGGCACTGTACGTTTTAGATTGTCAAACCGTACGTACGAGTCGGGTAATGGCCGTTGATCGGTGTAATCAAGCTCATGGGGATACCCGTAGATTGTTAGGCACCTGGGTCGAAACGCGAATTTGCCCGGCGCTAATGGCCCGCAGCCACGACTGGTTACGTACTCATTGAAACGCACCCACGCGTCCCGAAACGTACGGTCCCGCACGGCTCGGAATGGGGCCCACTCGACCGGGTCGCCCCCAGCGGATAGACCTAGGTGATTTTTACATAATAAATATCATGAGCAAACAATTAAATGGAATTAATTTATAAATGACACAAAATTTGTTTGTTAATTAATGAACATTGTATTTAAAAATTTATATTTAGATCAAATTAATTAAATCGTTTAATTAAAATATGTTCAAGAGCATAAACCTTTGTTAATTGTCATTTAGCTATTATAGTAAATTAGTTATGATTTACCAATATAAAGTTTATAACTAAAAATAATCACAAAAGTTAATAACTAGCTTGTATTAATGTTTGATAGCAATGGTTTATACAAATGGAGTCAACATCATCCCAATATAATAATAGCTAGAATTATTATTTAATTACGTTCATAAGCTCTTGATTTCTTATATACAGTTTGTAAACTTTACAGTAGAGTAAGTAAAGTAATTAAAAATTACTTTTTTACTAAAAAATATTGTAGTCTTTCAATATTACCAAATGGATATTGAGAAGTTTCAAGTTAAATAAACTTTAAATTGTTAATTTTATAATACAGGTTGTATCGGGTACCACAATTATTATAATTATCCAAAATGATTACAATGAAACTTTAATATAAAACATCTAATAAGTTAGTTATTGCAATATATACTATGCTAGATATGGAAAACAGTCCAAATAAAGTTAATTAGTAGACATTGTATTTAAAAGTTTATATTTAAATATTTTATATACAAGTGTTAAATAATAAAATTTATGTTTAATTAAAATATGTTCCAGAGCATAAACCTTTGAACATTGTCCTTTAGTTATTATAGTAAGTTAGTTATAATTTACAAAAATATATCTAAAAATAATTACAAAAATTTATAAATAGCTTGTATTAATGCTTGATATCAATGGTTTATAACGTGGCTAGGTTCTCCGATATAATTATTACAAAAATTATTATTTAAATACGTTAATAACTGGTTTACTTATATACAGTTTATAAACTTTACAGTAAAGTAATTAAAATATGATTTAGTGTTTTTACTAAAAAACATTACTGTCCTTCAATATGACCAAATGAGTATTGAGAAGTTTCTAGTTAAATAAATATTAAATAGTTAATTTTATAATACAGTTTGTAACGCAACAATTATTATAATTATCTTAAATGATTTCAATAAAACTTAAATATAAGACACCTAATAGTCATATACTGTAGTTACTATGCTAGATATGAAAAACAATCCAAATAGTTAATAAAATTCTACAATAAATTAAACATGCTTGATGGGTTTTTACATAACTTTTGATATAACTAATACAACTTTAATTACAATATAATTAAAGTTTTAGCAACATTTGTACTAAGTTACTTTATAAATAAAATAAACAATAGCATACCTGAGCCGGACGGTGGCGTACGCTCGTCATCAACCATGAGTAGGGGGTTTGTACTCCAGGACCACACATAGGGTATACCAGACAACTCCACGGCGGGTATGGGCAACAGTTGGTCCATGAAAATAACATCTGGTCGCTCCACCGTCAACAGGGCTTCCACCGTGCGGTCCAGCTTAATATAGTACTCGACACGAGCCCGCATACCGCCCGCCCGGCCACTGA